GTACTGTATTAATAATTGCTCACTGATCTGATGGTTTGGGAACCTATCACATAGTTTCTTGAAACGTTCCCAGTACTCATGAAGTGTCTCTGCATCGTCCTGTCGAATTCCACATATTTCTTTCCTGATATTGGTTATCAAAGATGCTGGAAAATATCTTTCTGCGAATACTTTTAGCATTTGATCCCATGTTGTGATGGTTCCAGCAGGTACTTCAAATAACCACTCCTTGGCAGCATCAGACAAGGCAAAAGGAAATGCCTTCAACTTGAGCTGGTCGAGGGTGACACCAGCCGGTTTCATCCCCGCACATGCTATGTGAAATTCCTTCAAAAATCTGCTAGCCTCATTCATGTGAACTGAACCCAAGGAGTTAGTATTACGGAAACCTGAAAATGTGGGAAGAGCTCTAATCAACCCCGGCTTGATCTCAGTTTCTGCCTCATCGTCTACTATGCACAATAAATTTGGATCAAACGTTGAAGCTGCAAGCTGCTTTAGTGTTTGATCACCCATCTCAAAAATATATTCACCCTCCTCGTCCGAAGATGAACTTTCACTGTGAGGTAACGGAATATGACGAGCTTGCTCCAGTATATGAGCACGAGTCCTTTTAGCTACAGGAAGAGTAGAAAAAGGATGAATTATAAGTCCCTGGTTCCTTGCCGCAAAATTTCTCAATCTTTGATGTTTCAAATTTCTGTCACACATACAAGAACAAGGAACTAGGTGACAAGTTAGTAAGAACAATTAGAAAAACACAAGAAATAATAAAATAAAACGCCAAGTCCCCGGCAACGGCGCCAAAATTTGGTACGACTGTCGCGTGTCTACCAAAAATAAACCTAACTCCAACCTCCTAAAATGTAGTAGGGTAAGCTAGGGTCGATCCCACATAGAATTGGTTTATTAAATTATAACTTGTGTAAGTTAGAAACCCCTGTTCTGAAGAAATAGTACTACGATCTAATAAATAAACTACTATGAACTATGGGACAAATAAAGTACGAAAGAAAGACTACTAAAATTGAAATATGATAAAAATCAATAATAATAAAACAGGGATCGGGAGACATATTATAGCATTGGAGTATTTGTAGATCATCGAATTATAAAAATTATGTTCTTATCTCAATGTTAGCCGATGAACACAAACAAACATTCAACACTTCCCTTAATTGCAAATAAACCAAACATGCTCTTGGAGTATTGTCTAACTAACTAACTAACAATCTAGAACAAGCTCTCTAGACTCGATTAATTAGCAGCATTAATAACTAGGAAGTAGCTAACTTAAGCCACAAATCTCACAAGCTCGGATTCGTGCAACTTAAAGAGCTAATAATCATAGGCATCGGACAAGTTTCAGTCACCTATTAAACACCTAAGTGCTACTAAGGAGTACTAACCGGACAATTACGTATCATAGATTATTCTAGCATTTAAACTAGCAAATTATACTAAAGATGGCCGGTCTAAAATATAATCTGGTAATTCATACTAATAAAACAGATTATCAACCCAATCAAGAAATAAACATAATACCCAAGAATTATAACATCTCTATTCTCACAACAAAATAATCCAATGCATAATATATATCCCTACCCTAAGAAGAATTAGCCTAACATAACAAATATTGAGGTTATCATACTAGAACATATATAATTCATAGTCAAACTAGTTAACAAAGCAAAATAGAAATAGACTACTAGAAATTATATTAAGCAATCAAAGTATAATTCCCAGGAGTAACTGACGCATTCAAGAACAAATTAAGGAAGCACTAACTTTATTATTTCCATTTTCTAAACAAAACTTCTACTGCTAATCCAAAGTAAAAACAAGTAGCTGACAATTGAATGTAAACAAAATATATAAAATACCAAAAGCTTCCAGTAGATGATCAGAGTAGCCATGCACAGAACCAATCCACCTCTGTTCACTCGTCTACCACCTCTGTTCACTGTTGGATCTCGCAACTCTCCGCCGAAATTCAGATTATATTCCCTCAATTTTGCTCCCCAAAATTACGGATCTGATAACACTCAAAAACTTCCCTAACCGAAAGATAAGGAACTAGCCTTTGATTCATCTCCATTGCTCCAAGTATTTCGCTCCAATAATTATCCAATTTCATCTTTATCATCTTGTTTGACGGTTTGTTCTCCGTGAAAGTCGGTGAAAAACTCTATGCTTTAGAGTAAGGAGAAATGTTCTTGAGCTGCCTCTTTTCTTCACTCAGCTAAGTAGGAAGATATTTTCATTCAAGGCCCAAATGTAAAAGCCTACACAATAAAACAATATTGGGCTTGAAATATTTGAGAGTCAACTGGCTTGTAAATTTTGCTTCTCTTAATCAATGTGGCGTAGAATGCAATTTGATGCCGATATTTTCTTTCCTGCAAACAAATAAATAAAATAGTAGTAACTCATGTATAGGATAGAAAATTACTTATTATACTCTTAAATTATCAAATGCCAATATAAAATCAAGAGTTTAATATATAAAAATAATATACTTTTATGGTCCTATCAACATGCATACCAGACGATCACTTCGTCGAAATCACCCATACAGGAAGATAAGATAACAATTCAACGGGCATGTTGAGAAGGGAGTGAGTCCTGAGCCATTGACAGGAATTGAAGTGTATGAGAAAATTAAAAATGTTAAGAAAATCTTCGGTAAGATGCACAGAGAAAAACCGAAGAAGGGTGTGTTGTGGAAAAAAGTGTCTAAGTTGTGGGATCTGCCTTATTGGAAGCACTTGTCGATTCGACATTGTGTTGATGTTATGCACATTGAAAAAAATGTTTGTGAGGCACTAATTGGGACTTTGTTAAATATCAAAGGGAAGACAAAGGATGGTGATAATGTGCGTAGAGACATGAAGGAAGCCAAAATTCGACCTAAGTTATGGCCTGAGGATAATGAAGCAACGAAAAAAGCATTTTTTCCCCATGCGTGTTATACATTGTCTAGAGAAGAAAAAAGGATCTTTTGTGAGTGTTTGAAAGGAATCAAGGTGCCGACAGGGTATTCGTCGACATAAGACGTTTTTGTTTCTACTACTGATAAGAAAGTTGTTGGTATGAAGTCCCATGATTGTCATGTGATGATGCAAGTGTTCATGCCAATTGCACTCTGAGGCCTTTTTCCAAAACATGTTAGGTATGCTATTGTGAATATTTTCTTGTTTTTCAATGCAATTTGCAGTAAGGTGATAGATCCAAAAACACTCGACGATATGGAATATGATATTGTTGAAACATTATGCAAATTCGAGATGTATTTTCCTCCTTCCTTTTTTGACATAATGACTCACCTTGTTATGCACTTGCCTCATAAGGTAAAGGAGTGTGGTCCTGTATTTATGCGTTGGATGTACCCTTATGAGAGGCAAATGGGTACTTGGCAAAGAACATGACAAATCCTGAAGGGAGCATCGTTATAGGGTTCATAGCAGAGGAAGCAAGGAACTATTGTTCAGTGTTTTTAGCTAAGGCTAAAGAAATTGGGATTCCGAATTCTCGTCACAAGGGAAGACTTCAAGGAAAGGGTACAGTAGGTCGGAAATTGGTTAAACCTCCACTTGATCGATATAAAAAATCCCACCGATTTGTGCTACAAAACCTATCTGCAGTTCATCCATATATTGAAAAACATCTTCATGAGTTGAAAATTCACAATCCCAGGATCAGCTCCTTTGCGTTGATGCAGGAGCATAATCACCACGTTGCTGAGTGATTTGAAGGCCAAGTGAATCTTGAATTGAGTAGAGATGAGAATGTTTCTGAAATGGCTTTCATGAGGTCCACAACCACTTGTTTATACTTATAAGGGTTATGATATCAATGGATTTACTTTTGCCACTTGTCGTCAATATGAAAAAAGTATGCAACAAAATAGTGGTGTTGTCGTGGTTGCATCTTCTACTGAATACTTAAGTTCTAGGGATACAAGGCCAGTTAAAGCTACACAGGCATATTACGGTGTCATTTAAGAAATCTGGGAGTTGGATTATGTTGATTTCACAATTCCTTTATTTCGTTGCACATGGGCTGATAACTATCGTGGTATGAAAACCGATGAGTTATTTGGATTCACCTTGGTTGACTCTAGTCGATACATTGATGGTGAAGAGCCTTTTGTATTATCTTCACAATCGAAACAAGTATTCTACATCAAGGATAATATAGATCCGCAATGGCGTGTTATAGTTGAAGGAAAGAGAAAAATTGTGGGTGTGGAAGATGTTGTGGATGAAGAAGAGTATGACTAATTTGATGACATCCCACCTATAACAATGGGAGTGCAACCTCTAAAAGAAGGGGAAGATACTGTTGACGATGTAGAGTATGATCATGAGGAAGGGTTAGTGGTTCCTATAACTACAACCAAGGTTTGTGTTATTGTATTCCTTGAACCATAGTATTTTTTTGCAATAAATACTGAATTTATTAAATTGGTATATATCTAAATCATAAATTTCTTTATTGTATAGTATTTACATTAATATGATTTTATTGTTATGATTTTGATTCTAATTCTTATTAATTTCATTCTTTGTGTAGGTGTAGGCATACTACAATGGAAGATAACATAGATGATCATGATGGACAGGAACAATCTGTTGACATGAATGCCTCCACTTCCCAAGTAAAATCTTCTACAAAAAAGGGACGAGGCCCGTCTAGAGCAGTCCAAACAACTACACCCATGTTCCTCGAATTTGATGAGTTTGACATGCCTATTGGAAAGTGGAAATCTTCTTATGGGAAGCAAATTGGTAATTGTGATCAAAGAGTTAACATTAATGTGAAGGGATATCCGAAGTATGATAAAGTTCGAAAGCAAAACTTGTGGGAGGAGAGTAAGGTAATTACGATATAAATATGGTTTATCGCTCTAAACTTTATGATACTTATAATTAATTATGAATATTAACATTCTCTAATTTTGTAGCGGAAGTTCCACATTGATAATCCCAAGGGTAGTAAAGAGAAGAAGTTCCACGAAGCTATTGGTGCTAAATTTAGGAAGCACAAGTCTTGGTTAGTTTCACGATTCATTACTAAGGAAAGTGCACCTCCGCCTGACTCACCTAGTGCAAACATTAAGCCCCGGGAGCTTTATGAAGGTTACATCAGAGAAGAGCAATGGAAAAAGTTTGAGACATATTGCATACAGATGAATTTAAGGTGTGTAAGATATTATGAAAGTATTTTTTACATATATACTTTATTTCAACTACAATACTACTTACAATAGCTTTTCATTTTGTAATAGGCTCTGAGTGAAAAAGGAAAGGAAAATGCAAAGAATAATAAGCATCGCCACCATCTAGGATCCAAGATTTATGAGAGGGCTCAAGTTGATTGGAGTAAGACCAATATAATTCCAGCAGAATCTTCAACCTCAAGCACCACAGAGTCCACGACAAGCTGTGTAATGAGTGAAAAGCTTAAAAATCGGTCTCTTTATTGGATTTTGGCCCGTCAAACTCGTAATGCAGATGGATCGTGGGCTATAGACCCGAAGAATGCCGAAACCCAGCAAATAGCCAATGCTATTGTAAGTGTTGTTCTAAGTGACCAAGTATAGTTTGTTTTACAGTTACTTGTTTATACTTTTGAGCTGATCAGTTCTAATCAGGCCTTTTCTATTTATTGCTCATTTCCTACGTTGTTTAATGGGAGGCCTTTTCTGTTTATTGCTCATTATAGTTGATCTCGCCAAAGCGAAGAAGGGGACGATAGTTGTGGTGTGAAATCAAGGCAATCTACCATCAAACCCACAAAATTCCTACCACTTGAAGATAAAATTGTCGATACTTTTGGCGAGGGTGTTAGTTGTTGTATTTGTTAAATGAATTCCGATGATGCAAAGTATGATACAACGTCGGTACTTTTAAATGCCTTAATGTTTAATTTTTATAGCGACAAAAAGATTTGGGTAACCGCTACTGATGTACGTGAATTTCTAAGAGGATCGTGGGCTAATGTTTCACCGATTCATGTTTATATCATGTAGGTTACTTAATCTTCCTTTAGTTTGGTTCTTATATTCACTATAGTAATATTTTTATTGCTATAATGCTGAATTTTTGGTTTTCTATGACTTTATCATGTAGGTATTTAGTAGACAACTTCATCGACCTTTTCAACAAGACTGAGATCACATTCTTTTGTCCTCAACTCATTTCTGAATCTTCAATTGAGAATGATTACCTTGAAACTTATACATATGTGAAGAATACATTTTTGCATGAAGTAAGAAAGACGGGTAAATGTTTCAAATTCATCGTGGCTCCATATGTTGCAAGGTTCGAAATATGTTTTTTATACTGCCACTAAACTTAATCATATAAATGATATGTTTTTCACCAATTTTCCAATATTCTAACTTGTGTTTTCCTCTTAAATGATGTAATGGTCATCGGGTTCTTGTGGTGGTCGATCTACAATTAGGTTTAGCTTATGAGTTTGAATCTATGAAGCTACCTAAAGAAAAACCACGACAATTGAAAATTGCCGAAATTATGATGACGTGAGCCACAACCTTGAAATTATGCCCTAGTTTCTATATCATTTTTGTATGTGGTGTTGTAGATTATTTTGTTCTAAGTGTTAGAATATATATTATATTTTTGTTGGGCTTATAAAGTATATCGGGCGAATCTCACAGGGAGTGAATTGAAATCACATAGGCAAAAATTGAAATTCATACAAATGGAGGTAAATACACTACTTACCCCTTATTGTTATATATTGTTCACTTTAAAAACAAAATTTGTAACTATTTGTTATATATACTAGTGTTCACAACAACAAGGAGGAGTTGAATGTGGCTACTACATTATGAGATACATGTATGAGATTGTTAGTTCTCACATGGAGTGCAAAGGTGTCTTAGAGAAGGTTAGTAGTTTTGTTTTCGCAAATTTTGAAGCTTTTTTAGCTCTATACGCTCCCAAAAGTGATATAATGGTCAATATTCATTGATTTCAATTCATAAAAACCAAAATATAAGTTAATTAAGGATGTTATGTGTTATATTGTGTTAATTTGAACAAATACATGAAAGATGGGAAAGGTAGAAGTCCCTTAAGCAATTTTGAAGCATTTTTGGCTCTATAAGCTCCCAAGAGTGAGATAATGGTCAATTTTCATCGATTTCAATTCATAAAAACCAAAATATAAGGTAATTAAGGATGTTATGTGTTATATTGTGTTAATTTGAACCAATACTTGAAAGATGGAAAAGATACAAGTCCCTTAGCGCAATTTTGAAGCCTTTTTGGCTCTATACGCTCCCTAAAGTGAGTAAATGTTCACTTTTCATTGATTTCAACTCATAGAAATCAAAATATAAGTCAATTAAGGATGTTATGTGTTTTATTTCTATATTATGAGTTTTATTTCTATAATTTGGTTCATCACATTTATTCTAATGATTGTTTTATTATGGATTGTTTTTATTTTCTAACCTCTTTCATATGTTTTTTTTTTCAATAGGATTTTTGTCCAAGGACAGCCATGTATGATGTTGACGAGTTGAATGTGGTTTGAGAACAGTGGGCGCAATACTTTAGAATTTAATCTTTATTGAATGCATAACTCTTAGCTTAGGTAGAACAAAGTAATATTTTTAGTGTTGTTGTATATGTTGGATAAATTTATACAAGTTTTTATTTGTAATGTGTTACTACTTCAGTTTTTATACTACGTCGTATTAATTTTTACGAAAGATTGTTCGGTATAATTGCTTATTTACAGGAACAGGTTTATTATAACAGGTTTTAATTAATATATATTAATTATATATAAATACATGCTGTCGAAATTAAATAAAATAAAAATTTAATTTAATAATTATTTGTAACGGGCAACAGAATTGTTAGTTACAAATAACCACTTATTCGTAACATGCATTTTTGTTGCCCGTTACAAATAAGTGTTAAATTATATACAATAAAACTTTATACGTAACGGACATTTAAGATGCGTTTTAGGTGCCCGTTACGAATAAGGACTTATTTTAATACAAAAAAGGATTTATTCGTAACTGACATTTCAAATGTCTGTTACAAATAACCCCTTATTCGTAACTAACATTTCGAATGTCCGTTACAAATAATGGGTTATTCGTAATGGACATTTGAAATGTTAGTTACGAATAATGGGTTATTCGTAACGAACAGTGCCCGTTACGAATAACAATGGCCATCCGTAACGGCCGCATACGTAACGGACGCTGCCCGTTACGGATGAACCCTTTTTGCCCGTTACTGGTGGCGTTTTTTCCACTAGTGAACATCAAAGAAAAGCCACTGAATGTCATCTTCAATATTTAGAGTTTTTAAGGCATCAACATCACAAAAACGAGTTGCAGTTACTCCTCTCTCAAACAATCTCTCATATTTCTCCTTATGCTCTTTATCATGAAATTTAATGTCATAGTAGTCAACCACCACTTTCTCCTTAGTCTTGGTCGATGACACCTTTCCCTTAGTAATGGAAGATTTCTTCTTGGATGCAGAGGTCTTAGAGACGGGTACAGGTCACGATACTCCAGAAATTTTCATACTCCTAGTTGTGGTAGAACGAGCCATTCGAGATTGAAGCAATTTCGATTGAACAAATCAATGATGCGGCGAAATCAAGAGCAATAACACGTAAATATCATCAAATAATTCCAATACACAGGGAACAACCAAGAAATCAAGCTTTTAAGGGGAGAACGGGTAATAATTTCTCAAAATTCAATAGTTTTCACCGGCAAACAATTGATTCGGAGGTTAGGGTTAGATAAAATACCTCGCCAATGAAACATGGGGTTCATGATTGCATTTGAAATACCATTTGATCGAGAAAACAAGATGCTTCTTGATATTGCTGATGTATATTTGGGAATTAATCCAACAACAATGATGATGACAGGGGTGGAGATCTTAAAATCGAATAAGGGGTATGAGGAAACTTGCTTGAAATCTCATCTCTGTGCCGATTCTCGATCTTTTTTTTTTGATTTTTTTTTTCTCATTTGTCTTGTGATGGTGTCGAGAGTGTGATATCCACTCTTTCATCAATTGGATCACCTACTCGATAGTGCTTCACTCTTTGCCCATTCACCTTAAAAGTACTCCCATTTTTGTATAGTACCATAGGGGTAGACTTTAAAAACCTTGAATGGACCCGACCACCTAGAGCGAAGCTTTCCGGAAAATAGTTTCAATCTAGAGTTGAATAAAAGTGTTTTATGTAAAATTACCCAGCCACGTGGTCCTATGAGAATTAACACGTGTCCATCTTATATTGGCCTAAATTGGGCCACTTACGAAATGACACGTGGAATCCACTGTCATCAAAAGGAATGACAGCTTTCAAAGGCCCAATTCCTAAAAAGCCGCCAAAAGCGCGGGCAGCCCACCAAATCTAGGTCAAATGACCTAGGTAAGGGCACACTTATCCAGAATAATCCGATAAATAGGGTGATTTCCCCAATTTGTGGGACAGATTGAATTTATTACAAAATCACTAACATTCTCTTACATCTGAGATATCTCCTGATCTCGGAATCCAAGAAGATCTCACCTTTATCTTTTTCCGCACTTTTTACTCAATCCTACGCGTTCTAACTTGGTCGTCGAAGGCGGAGCTCCAACCACCCGGAGTCTCCGTTGTTTTGCAGGTACAGGCGCTCCTCAACCAGACTTTGATTTGTAGCTCTCCCGAGGGACAAAAACACCCAAAACATTTGGCGCCGTCTGTGGGGAGAGTACCTCAAGGATGGTTCAAGAGTCTGTACTACCTCCCGAACGTCCAGTAGATCAGCCAAAGGTCTTTACTGAACAAGAGGATGATTATCCTCAAGTCGAAACCTACATTGCCAAAGAGGGCTCTCTGATCACTAAACGCATCCGTCCCAGAGACACTCTGGAACGGGGCAAGAGCCAGGCGGGTACAAACCGACCCCCTAGTCAGCCGGAAGGGGAAACCCACACGGCAGGTGGATCCGCCCCAGTCACCCGGGACAAACTCATGAAATTCATGACTAGTTTCAAGGGTGAAATCAAGGATCTTATCACCAAAAGTAAGGCTGGCCCAAGTAAGGGACAATCGGCAAGGAAGACTCCTCTAGAAAAAAGGATGCCAGTCAGAGACAAGCAGCCAAATCCGTATCCAAAGGAGAAGGCAGCCTGGAACCTTGACTGGTCCAAAATTCTTCTACCTAAGAGGAATACCACCAATACCCGCCGGAGTGAACAACCGGTGGGAAACAAAAAATCAACTCCTGACGCTATGGAAATCATTACCCGCAGAAGGAGTCAGCAGCTGTCTGAGTCAGCCTCTACATCGAACTTTTCAGAAAACTTTAAGAATACATCTGTAGTGAATATTAAATCTCTACATGAGAGCCATACAGGCAGTAATACCGTACATGGTCAATATTCATTGATTTCGGGTTAGATAGGTCGTTAAGCTACTATCCTAACCAAATTAATCATTTATAATACCTAAACCTACATTAAACTAGTTAATGGAAAGTAAAGGGTCGAACCACTAGGGAAGCACACTAATTCAACATCAAATATCACTAATGCAAGAGTGAAAACAGGATTGTTTTTGTTGGTTTTGTTGAGTAAGAACACTAAAACTACAAATAAGCAAGGAAATGTTTATTTAAAATCAATAGAAAATGAAGCAAGGGATACGGGGGTGTCCAATATGATTAGAAAGAGGAGAATAATGGTGATTATCATGAAACATATGCCAAAGAACACAAGATTCTACCTAAACAATTCATTCTCATGCAATAGTCTAGGCAAATCAATGAAAGAGGTCTACACTAATAAGGATCATTCCCATGCATCCTATTAGTTACAATCAAATCAAGAGAATAAGAAGCACAATCCATAAAAACTCCACTTTAATAACTCATTCTCATGCAATCATTAAAATAGAGATGATCCTAATCTAGTTCAAATCACTTTCATGCATTTAAACTAGAAAACATCAAATAGAGAGCAACAATAATCCCAAGCTAATAAAAATCATGTCTTTCATCAATATATGGCATAAGTTCAATCCAACCATCATCATTCATCCAATATCAAATCATATCTTCCACCCCCTTCCCCTAGCTAAAAGTTTATCCTAGAGAAGGGAGATTAAACATAATATCAAAACTAGAAATAAACTCAAGAAACTCAAAACAAAACATGATTAAAATCAATGAAATCATTAACAACTAGATAAGCTAATAATATTGACAAGAATAAGTAACAATAAAACAAATAAATAATACTAAAGGAAAGGAGAAGACATTACTAAAGAAAGGATTAACGAAAGATGAAAACTTGGATTCTTGCTTGATTGATGGAAGATTAAAACTTGAGCAAAGTTGAATACAATAAAGGATGCTTGAATAACAATCTATTTTCTCTCCCTAGATTAGGCTAAAAGTGCCAAAAATTAAAACTAAGTTAATCTAAATTACATCAAAACGTTCTAAAAATGGGACTTATATAGTCCGTACAGAGCCAACTGAAATAGAGGAGTGGTCCGACCGAACACTGGGTAGGTTCGGCCAGACTACAGGGTAGGTTCGACCGAACCTCCCTGATCATGGTCTGGTCGAACTTCTGAGGTTCGACCACTCCTGTAAAATTGCCAAATTGCTTCTTGACCCTGCCTCGACGTTCGGCCGAACCACTGAGCAGGTTCGGCCACACCCTGGTTCGGCCACACCTTCAGGAGGTTCGGCCGAACCTCTTCTGAATCTTGCTTCCTTCAGCTTCCCTTGAGCTTAGCTTCCTCCTCTTGGAAACCCCGATGGCTCCTACAAAGCATAAGCTTGGAAATTAAAGTAAAGAGTAGGAAAAAGGGGCAAAATCTTTGAAAGAAGATGCATAAAGGGAAAGGGAACTAAGTGCAAAGAAAAGGATACAAACAAGCCGCAAATGTGGGAAAATGACCATCAAAATGAACCTTAATCGTGGCATAAATGCCACTCATCAAATTCCCCCACACTTGCCTCTTGCTAGTCCTCGAGCAAGGAATGCCAAAACAAAGAGAATGTCACAACAAACATAACATGACAAGGGTTAAGGAAAACCAATTAAGCACTTATGTAGAAAATGCTCCATTTGAACTCGAAAGAAAAGACATGCACCAAAGAATACTCACCTTTCTCAATTCAATGAGGGAAAACACGTTATAAGATGCTCGGGGTTGAAAGAGACAAACCTAAGCTAAGCATAGAGAACTAATGACTTCACTCTCCGCCCTAGCCCCAACCAAGACGGTCCACGTTCTCTCCACTAGTTTCAAGTCATCCCCTAGCTAGCTCCTTATGATTCCTCGAGGGAACCAGAAAAATATGTTTTTATGTGGAATCAAAAGGTCATCCCGACATCTCAACTATGCATACTCTCTCCATAGGGTTGAAATCTATCTCCCTCCACCGGTTTTTGACCGCGCTCCTCCAAATCCAAGGGCCTTAAATAGGGTTGTAATGTCATGGCTAGGGGTTAAGCTTGGGAATCAATTTGAAAATTTTTGTGGCAAATCCTAAGTGAAGAAAAAGAGTGGCCATCTCTCAAGAACAACCTAAGAATTGAAAATAATCTCAAATTACAACCTTAAATACAAACCTCACATCATTACTTCATCCCTTTTCATTTCTTTCATCTCTTTTTTTTCATCATTTTTTTTTC